CAGTATCGAAGTAGTTACAAGTGAGACATGAACATAGTAATCAACGTCAGAGTAAGCATGGATCTATTTTAATACGGTCATTATTTTTATCTACGGAATGTTCTGTAGACAATATACGCTTTCCTTTTTTGCATTATACTCGCGCAACGCGCCAACCACAGGTTGGCGCTAGCCAGCTCAACGCAAAAGTCTGGCTCAACGCAAATTCTTGCTATAATCCCGACCTTGTTAGTAAATTATCACCGCAACCACGTCCAAAAAATTAGATCTATTCAGATGAAGTTGTAGATAGCGCCTAGATTGTCTATAGAGCCGAGTTTTATGGTGCTTAGGAACGTTGTGCTGCAGCCGCGCGCTGGATAAGTTCTTGACGAGCCTTACGCTCCGCTGCCTTGCCAACCTTTGCAGCTTCGTTTTTAACCCGCTGATCAATAGCAGCGCGAGCGCCTGCTGCAGTTAAAACTCCACCTTGTTGTACTTGCCGACGAGTAGCATTTTGACGCTCTTGACGCGCTCTTGCGACCGCAGTCACCTCCGCGAGACTACGTTCTGCTAAGGCGCGGTCGTCCGCGATCACCGCGGCACCGCGCAATACCCAGCAAATCCTATCCTGACTCACGTCAACACCATTAATTGTATCGTGTTGAAGAGCCTGAAGCTCGCGTTTAAAGGTTCGGGTTGAGGTAGGCGTCGGCGGGAGCGCGTCGTCGTCGTTGAGTAGGTCAACGGGGTGCCTAGAGCGGGGTGGAGGGGTTGATGGGCGGGGCAATTGGAGCTTTTTGAGTACTATTTCTGGGTTGTATGGGAAGATCCCAGCCTTCTCCCACGCGTGGAGGATTGTCCGTTGCTTAAAAGTAGCAGCGCGGATACCTTTAATTGCGTAGAGAAACTCAACTTTATTAAAGTCAGTACAGCCAGTACGGGTTGCCGCCTCAACAGCGCTCTTGTGATAGTGTTTAAAGGGTTGAAAACACACAACGTCAAGCGGTTGTAGGTCGTGAGACGTATGCGGAGGCAGCGTAAATAAGATAATCTTATGGTCGTCGGCGTAACGAAAAAACTCTACTGTACAGTGAGAGCCAAATCCGTCGAAGATAAGTAGTCGGTAGACCCCGCGCTGACGTCGTGATGAGTAGTAGTCGAAGTGTTTAAGCCACTCGAGTGAGAGCGTATCATTAGAGTAGCCAGTAGACGACAGCCTAAAGGCGTACTCGTCAGGTATATCGGTTTTAGTGTACCATTTCTCTAAGTGGGTACTACCCTTAAGGATTAATAGCGGCGGTAGTACCTCTCCGTCGCCAGAAATACACTCAATAGAGGTAATATAGTCGCGGTTTGTATCCGAAGCTGAGACCTGCTGCCGCTGCTAGTCCATAGTAATAATCCATTGCGACCCACCGCAGCCTATCCGGAAGCCAGTCTCGTCCATATTGTAGGTGTCGGCGGGGAGAATCCCATGACGGTACTTGATCTCCTTCACGGCATCAAAGTGTGCTTTATATGCCTCTTCAGCAGCAGCAGCAGTACGTGTAATCTCGCGAGGTTTTTGTTTAACTCGTCGACAGTCAGGATTACGCTGTAGCCATCGAGTAATAAAGTGTTGACCAACTTTAGGTGCATAGCCAGTAGGTTCTTCGAGATCAAGAAGATACTGAACGGCATTTTTAAGCTGTGGGACAAGTGCTGGCATGCCTAGCTGATCGCAGCGGGTAATATATAAGCGTAAAGCAGCCTCTGCCGCTGGCGTAAGTCTCATATTTGTTGGTGGGCGTTCTGATTTTGAGTTGCCGCCTTGAAGTCGTCGTCTGAGCCGATGATATGGCACTACAAAATCAAGCGCAAGATCAGTAATTTTCTGGGGATTTTTTGAATTATAAGCTGCACAAGCATTCTGTATACGCTTTTCAACATCTTCATAAGAACCAAATCGCGATACCATGTCACTCTTCCCCAACATCCAAGTGGCGGCCCAATCTGAACTTGACGCCGTCCTCGGCGTCCCCCCTCGCCTCCCCACAGCCGAAGATCTCCCTCA